TTGTTTGTATTTAAAACATTTTTTATTGAGTCAATTTACATAAGCACTTTACGTAGTTACATGTATGTGTACCAAAAAATTACATTGCACAACAAACAAGTACAAAGTCCTCACAAAAATATTACAATTTTTTCAGGAATTCATGCTGATATGCTAGGTCGTTGCTACAATTTTCATAAATTTTCCCCATTTTTTTAAATGTTTTCCCAATTTACCTTTTCTGTTTGCAATCAAGTACTCAGTTTTCCGTACCCTCTGCACGAAGTCTTTAAATTCCTCAAATTTTGGTTTGTTACCCTGACATCTGCAAATATAAATAAACCTCCTGGCTACCAAAAGCAAAAAGTTTAACAGGAGGGGGAGAAGACTATCACCAAACAAGAAGCATTCTGGGTCGTTCACCCGAGGGAAACTCAGTTTTGTCCCCCACTGATCACATTTTAATGAAACTAGGTACTAGTACATAGGAGATTTAGAATAATCCACAAACCTCATTACTTTAAGGCTGAAATCTTCTTTAAAACTTGGTGTAGTTTCTAACAATACAATGGCAATTCTAATTGCTATAGCAACAACTATCTTCAGTATATGAACTACCACATTTGTGATGTCGCAAATATTTAGTAGTGACAATAACCACGACAAGTAGGTAATATATCATCATATAGAACATTGTGAATTTTGTTTTAAGAAAGACGCTTTGCAGGGACAGCGATTGTTGCACATGTGTGATTTCTACCATCTGTTAGACAACAGGCAGCACTTTCCAAGTGACTCGATATTATCAGTAAATTCTGCATATATTATTAGACTGGTCCTTATCTGGGTATAGTAGTGATCTTGAAGGATATCATTCGTCTTGTTGCTAAGCAATATGATCCCTGACAGTTTAGCTAAATCAATATGTTTCAAATGATCATGTAGTTTCTCACGGTTTGTAGGCGACTGTTACCGGACTGTTATAATTTGAGTTGTTTCTCAGTTGTAGCCAATCCCTGTACACTACCATTCACCTCCTGACGCTAGGGTATAAAGTTTCAAGTTGTTGACGGGCATACATTTCCATTGTATGATATCCATTATTAAGCATATACAGATTGGTGATCTTTGTTACCTATATTCCTTGTAGTATAGTCAGGTGTTTGATAAATACCTTATTCACAGACCTTCGAAGTTCCTCTAAGTGCATCTTGAATTTACATCCAACATGACGTTTTTTGGATGCCTTTTTTCTTGCTTCCTCTCGTAGTCTGTTCCACATATGGTTCACATTTGATTATTCGTTCGTCATGAAAAAACACAAATTACAGAAACTTGAAAATATATCCGGGGTGATACATGAGCTAGGGAACAATGCAATACATACGTACAAAAATAGGGACAAAGTTACTGGTAACATAACTGTGACGCTTATTAGTCCCTGTTTTGACCTCTGTGCATCTGTACGTCCGTGTGTGCGTGCGTCCGTGCGTCCGGACCAGTACCTGAGAAATGCCTGGATCACAATCAAACTTCACACGTACATAATGCATGATATTATACATATGCACATCAATTTGTTTCACGATCTGATTCAAGATGACGGCCATTTTTGTTCTAAAAATCATCAAAATTAAGCATTTCCCGGCTGTTTACAGATGGATTGTGTTCAAACTTGGTATATACGTTGAACATTATAAGACTTTGATGCACATCATTTTGTTTTTTAGATAAGATTCAAAATGGCCGACTGGTGGCCATTTTGTTTTAATGAATGTGGTTCTAATGTCATATCCGACTTTCTGCGACTGTTGAAATAATAATTATACATCATGTCATAGATATACAGATATATTGGTTTGACGATCCTATTAAAAATGGCTGAATGGTGGCCATTTTGTGCTAAAAAATCATCAAATATCAAGCATTTATGGATGGATTTTGTTCAAACTTGGTACATACATTAGACATTACGGGTTCCTGATGCACGTTGTTTTATTTTTTAGATCGGATTTAGAATGGCTGACTAGTGGCCATTTTGTTTTAATGAATGGGCTTTTAGAACCATATCTCTGACATGCTTTGACTGACTATGTTTTTATTTTATATATTCATTTTACATGAATTCAAAATGACTGATTTTGTTTTAATTAATGCTGTTCCAGAGCAATATCTCTCAATACTCGTTTGACGATCAGATACAAATGTCAATCATTTAATTTTAAACAGTCATCATAATCATATTCCTGACATGTTTATATTCCAGCTATATTACTATAAACAAAACTATAAATCTTAAATTCGATAACTAACAGGGTCTGTGCCAGGCATGGCTTGTAGTGCTGATAGTGTTGATCGATGCTGGACTGGCTCTGACTTCCGGGGAGCAGGGAACTATATAGAACGTCAGACCACCAATAAGTTGTCTGGGAAAGAACTTGCCTACTGGGGGG